CCTGGCCCCTGGTTTACAGCAACAGCGGCTCCCGCTTGATATTTCACCAAAATGTATTCCCAAATCGCGCTCTCGCAAGGGACTTCTTCATTATTTAATGCAGGAATCACGCTTTCGCGTGGGACATTCTTGCAGTTTATTTAGACGGCACGCCCTCGACACTCAGGAATCACGCTTTCTCTGTGAATGTCTTTACGATTTATAGGGGATCGCGCTATCGTTCGAGACTTCTCCGCGACTCATGCAGGACGCAAGCTTTAGTAACCCGCCTGTTCGACCTGGCCGTCTAGGCCCGCCTTCCCGACCCGCCTGCTAGGGTCTATCCGGCCGATCTGCCCCTATGGTTCTGCCACGTGTTTTCTACTCCTAACCCCCCTCCTGCTATTTTCTCTCGTGCTCCATCTTCCTCCCTCCCCCTTGTCCCTTCCTTCCATCCGTCCTCTTTTTCCCTGCCTCAGGGGCTGCACGAAATACACGTTGCAGGTAAGAAAAATGCACCCCGAAGGGGGTACGATCGAAGACGAAGAGGATGGGTATCGAGGGTTTGGGATATACGTGTTGAGTGGCACGCGAGCAGGGAAGAGCGAACAGTCTTAAGATTATGTTTTTTGTTGTTGCTGTTGCTGCCGCTGCTGCTGCTGTTGCTGCTGCTGCGGCTTGCTGGTTATGCTTGTTTGTTCGTTTGTTAATTTGTTTGCGTGTTTGTTTTGCTTATTGTAGTGGCCTTCGGCCAGTGCCGCCGATCCGGGTCGCTCGGGGTTATTCTCCAGACGCAGAAATTATGGGCGCACACTCAAACGCACACACACAGTCACACCACTTAACCTGCGCCGCAGACATGCGCACACAGCATCACCCACACACACATACTAGTTGGGAAACGCTCCTGTAGTACTAGTAGTAGTATTAGTAGTAGTAGTAGTAGTAGTAGTAGTAGCAGTAGTAGTAGTAGTAGTAGTAGTAGTAGTGTAGTAGTAGTAGTAGTAGTAGTGGTTGTGGTAGTAGTGGTAGTAGTAGTAGAGGCCTCGTTCCGCGGCTTCTCTCGACTTCCCGCGGTCTCTCTCAAGTTTCGAGCACGCGGTGAGTTTCACGATATATGTGTGTGTATGTACGCGTGCATGCATGTATGCATGCATTGATCATGTGTGCCTGTGTGTAGGTACGTATGTATGTATGTATGCTTGTGCGCGTATGTATGTATTTAGTTTGTATGTATGTTTGTATGTGTGTATGATAATATGTGTGTATGTGTGTGAATGTAAGTATGTATGTCTGGAAGATTGTTTTTCTATGTATGCAAATGTGTTTAAATGTAGGTATGTATGCATGTGTGTATGGATGTGCGTTTGAAGAGCGAGGATGTTTCAAAGAAGAGGCACTCGGTGACGCGATCGTTGAGGGATAGGAGTGAGGTCGCAGAGGAGGAGGAGGAGAATGAGGAAGAGGCGATAACTTGAAGGAAAACGATGAGACGGAGGACATCCTGCCGGTGGCGCCCTGGGCGGTGCCGCGGAAGAAACCGGGGGCCTGCCGGAGGCAGTCTGGAGGCCTCTGGGGAGCTGTTTTGGGGCCTCTTGGAACCTCTTTTGGGCCTCTTGTGGGCTTCTTGGGGCCCCTTGGGGGTCTCTTGGGGCCTCCTGGGGGCCTCTTGGGGCGGAAAGCTCGGTTCTTTCGGTTCGTGGTCCCCCTCTTGGGCCCCTCTTGGGGCTCTCTTGGGGCCTTCTTGGGCTGTCCAGAGGCCCTCTTGGGCCGTCTTGGGGCCCTCTTGGGCCGTCTTGGGGCTCTCTTGGGCCGTGTTGGAAGCATCGTGGGCCGTCTTGGGACGGACTTGGGGGCCTCTTGGGCCGTCTTCGAGCGTCGGACGCCCGAAAAGGCAAGAACGCTAAAAACCCTGAGAAAACCAATGAAAATCAACGATTCTGGCCTCTTGGGGCCCTCTTGGGAGGCCTCTTGGAAGCTTCTTGGGGCGTCTTGGAGACACCTTGGGCCGTCTGGAGGCCATCTCGGGCGTCTTGGAGCGATTTTTCGGCGACTCGGGGCCCTCTTGGAACCCCTTGGGGGTCTCTTGGGCCCCCCCCCTCCTCCAAAGCGCCGGAAAAAGCGGAGCATGGCGCCCCCCCCCCCCCTATCTTCCACTCCCCCGGAGCGGCCCCGGGGTTCGCCGGAAACTCGCACCCCCCCCCCCCCCCCCCACCCCCCCTTCCCCGGCAGAGCCACCCCGGCGACCCCCCCAGAGGCTGAAGCTCAGCCTCGAGGCTGTAGCTGAGACTCCTTGAAACTCACACGCCGGATCGGCGGATTTATTTTCCATGTCGGTGGCCCTTTGGAGCCTGCGCCCTCGTGGCCACGGCCAGAAACAGCTTGGAGAGCTGGCGGAGACAGGACCCCTGTATGGGGTCCCCGAGATCGATGTTTGGTGGGTCTCTGTCGGGGTCGATGATCCCCAGTCGGGGAAACGTAAGACTCGTGTTCGCCGGAACTCGGGTTTGCCTATGCTTTTTGACGAGGTCGTCCTGAATTTAGACAGTCTGGTTTTCGTGGGATGTATACAGGGGGAGATCGCGTTAGATTTCAGACTGGGTCTCGTCATTTTTCTGATGGCCCCGTCAGGCCAACCCGAGCTTCCCGAACCCGAGTCTCACGTTTTTCCCCGACTCAGCGGAAACGACCCTCAGAGTCGTTTCTTCACTGTTTCCAGAGATGTGCCTCTTGAACACGGAGATGGCGAAGCAACGGCGACCAGAAACGGCCAAACAAGTGGCACGCGTGCCCTGGCTCTTGCACAAAGGTGTCCGAGGCTCAGGGGGGCTGCCCTGGGAAGCCTGGGCGGGGGGGGGGCAGAGGGGGGGGGGGCAGGGGGACGAACGACACGACACGACACGACACGAAAATAAAAGTGGCCCAGGGGGGCTACCCTGGGAAGCGTGGACAGGGGGGGGGGAGGGACGAACGACACGACGAACGACGAAAAGAAAGGGGAAGCGTGGACATTCCCGTGGCCAGGGGGGCTACCCGGGAAGCGTGGACAGGGGGGGGGGCGAGGGGGACGAACGACACGACGAACGACGAAAATAAAGGGTTCCGTGGCCCAGGGGGGCTACCCTGGGAAGCGTGGACAGGGGGGGGGGCGAGGGGGACGAACGACACGACGAACGACGAAAATAAAGGGTTCCGTGGCCCAGGGGGGCTACCCTGGGAAGCGTGGACAGGGGGGGGGGCGAGGGGGACGAACGACACGACGAACGACGAAAATAAAGGGTTCCGTGGCCCAGGGGGGCTACCCTGGGAAGCGTGGACAGGGGGGGGGCGAGGGGGACGAACGACACGACGAACGACGAAAAGAAAGATGTCCGAGCTCTAGAGCACAGCTGTGCAAGAGAATAAAAGGTTCCGTGGCCCAGGGTCGCTGCCCTGGGAAGCCTGGACGGGCTGCTCTGGGAAGGCTTGACTGGATGGGAGGCAGGGGGGGGTGCGGGCCAGGGCCAGGGGGACGACCAGGGCCAGGGGGACGAACGACACGAACGACGAACGACACGAAAATAAAGGGTTCCGTGGCCTAGGGGGGCTGCCCTGGGAAGCCTGGACGGGCGGCCCTGGGATGCCTGGACGCGGGGCAGGGGGGGGTGAGGGCCAGGGCCAGGGGGCGACCAGGGCCAGGGGGACGAACGACACGAACGACGAACGACACGAAAATAAAGGGTTCCGTGGCCCAGGGGGGCTGCTCTGGGAAGCCTGGACGGGCTGCCCTGGGATGCCTGGACGGGGGGCAGGGGGGGGGGTGAGGGCCAGGGCCAGGGGGACGAGCAGGACACGAAAGTGTTCCGTGGCCCAGGGAGGGGGGTGAGGGCCAGAGCCAGGGGACGACCAGGACACGAAAATAAAGATGTCCGAGCTCTAGAGCACAGCTGTGCAAGAGAATAAATGCTCCAGGATTGGAACGGGGCGAGGAGCCGGGAAAAGCTGAGGAATAAGGGAAGGGAAACAACTGCGCTGGAACTGGCCCCAACCCGGCAACACGGAAACGGTAAAGAAACAGTCTTGTCGTTCGCAGGGCCAAGTAGGGAAGGCTTTACGTTAGCCCAGAGTGACCAGAGTGAGCTTACCCCTTCATCTCCGTCGCTAACGCCTAGCCTGTGCCGGCCCTCATCAAGAGCTTCGGCGGGCAAACCCACGTGGGGGCCAACACCTTCTTCGTGGGCGGCCAAGATTCGGCGTCACCGACGCATACTGATATTGTGTGTGCGTCGCCCCCGAGAGGGGCGACGCGCGCGCCGAGAGATCTTACGGTACATGTTCCGTGGTGGGCGCCCTCCGGCCGTACCCGTCGGGAAGCAAGGTGCTACTCAGGAGGGAAAAAAACACACAGACACAATTAATCGTCGATTCCCCAGAAAATATGGGAAAATACGAGAAGTGGGGGAGAAGACAAACACCCAGAAAATATAGGAAAATATGGGGAATCTTTTTATTTGTGTGTATTTATTTGTGTGTCCCAGGGCCCCTTGAGCTACAAGAGGAGGGAGCAAGGTCGGACGGGTGCCGCCGAGCCCCTGCGCGGAGCGCAGCTCTGTGCGACCGCGTGTGCGAGGAGCGCGCCCCGGACTGCGGGGGCGCGGATGCGGATGTGTTCGCCGCTCGTGAGTTCTGGGGACCATCGAGGGGGGCGGGCCTCAGATCAGCAGGTGGCTTGTCTCGGGCGGGGCCGGGATGAGGGGCAAGTCCGCTCCAGAACGTTCCAGAACGCTCTCAGAGCGTTCCAGACCGCTCCGAGAAGGCCGCGGCGCCCGAGACATCCTCCAGAGTCGCCGGATCTCAGAGATTCTCGAGTGATACTCACCCGATTCAGTCCTTGTCCTGGCTTCGTCTTAGGGGTAGGCCTCCTGAGAGCAGTAGGCTGCAGGTGGCTTCTCAGGATCCGCCGGGTGCGCCGCGCGGGACGGGCGCACCGAGCCGGGCGCCTGGGGCCGGCTGGGGCGCCTGCCGTGCGCGCTGGGCGCCAGGCGACATGGATTCCGCGGGCGAGTGGTTCGACCAGGCGCTCTCCTTCTCCTCGTCCTCCTCCTCGTCATCTATCCCTACCCCGCGTCACTCAGAGATCTGGGTCCCTCAGAGATCGGAGTCCGGTCCATTTCTGGGTCGTTGGCGACGCGCCGTAGCCGATGCGCGGCGGATTTGGGTCGCGGCCTTCCACTCGAGGCATTCCCCGTGCAATGCGAAACGGTTTGTTGGCAGCGGTCCGCGCGACCCTGCGAAAAACAAGTTTTTGGATGAATCAGTTCTGCATGCGGGCCAGAGCTGATCACTGCTGCCTGGTGGCAGATTTTTCAGACCACAGTTTTGCCTGCGTCGGTCAGCCCTTCCATGCGTTCACTTCTGGAGGCCAGATGCGAGGACTTGCGAAGCAATTCCTCGAGAGGCCCCCATAGCGCAGCGAAGTTTGGACGAGATTGGGCAAGAGGCTCCATCCTGACCGTAAGCAGAAGGGAGTCACTGCCGATCTCGAGACTGTTTGCCTTGTGTAAGCGGGTCCATGGCTGTGGATGTCAAGAAATGCTCCTCCATCCGTTTCCCTTATGAATGAATCCTCCTTGTCGCACCCCCAGACGTGTCCGTAAGGCGGGCCGGGCGTTTCGTCTGAGACTTCACGGTTTATCACCCTGAGTCAGTTTCACGGATGGAGGGCGGATGGTTTTCAAAATGTGGTTCTCGCCCCAGCGCCGCACACATTCGTCTTGAAATTTTGCAGCAGAGAGGGCGGCCCTTTTTCAAAATGTGGCTCTCGCCTCAGCGCCGCGCACATTCGTCTTAAACGTATGCAGCAGCTTCGCGGATGGAGGATGGATCATCTTCAAAATTTGATTAGTGTTAGCGTCGCGCACATTCGTTGTAACAGTTGCGGCAGTTTCAAGGGTTTGCATGGCCGAAGTCCCAGGACTGGTGCTGTGGCACGGTTTATGAGTGTCAGGACGCAGCTGTCCTGTTGAATTCGCGGTGTCGAAGTCCCAGGAATGATGCTCTGGCGCGATTTAGGGCTTTCAGGACAACACTAACGTTTATTCGCGGCGTTGAGGTCCCAGGAACGGTGGTCTGGCACGATTGAAGATTCTCCGACGGTCATTTTCCGATGGTCCTTTTTCCGCAATGAAAAGACATGTTTGAAGGGACCCGTGAAGAGGAACCTTGGAAGGAGGGTTTCTTGCAGCATCGTTGATCCGTCTTGGGTTTACACTGGTTCTTCTCCTCCTCCTCCTCCTCCTCCTCCTCCTCCTCCTCCCCCGCACACTTTATATGTTTCGCATGGGTCGCACTGCATGTGTCCAAACACTCCAGAGCCCAGCGGCCGCGGCCTCACTCGTGTTGTCTAAGCCAAGCTGCCCGGCGCTTGCCCGCAACGGTGGTCCCTTTCGTCCGCTCGCCCTTCTGTTGTGTGCCGCCAGACGGGTCCGTGGTCCAATCTGCCCCCAGCTTCCTCCCGCAGGCGCAGATAGCTCCCAGAGGCTTGTTTCGATTCCTCCGATTCGATTCGATTCGATTTCGATGGATTCTGATTCCGCTTCGATTCGACTTCGGATTATGATCAGAGTGAGGGGGCCGAACGGTCATTCGCTGTCCCTGGGTGCGTGGCTGAAGTGGGATTCCGCGGTGCGGGTTCTCGTTGTTGTTTGTTGTTGTTTGTTGTCGTCGTCCCACCCGCAACCCGCCCCGCGACCCACCCGCGACCCACCCCGCGACCCACCCCGCGACCCACCCGCGACCCACCCGCGACCCACCCCGCGACCCACCCCGCGACCCATCCCGCGACCCACCCGCGACCCACCCGCGACCCACCCCGCGATCCACCCCACGCCCCACCCCGCGACCCATCCGCGACCCACCCGCGACCCACCCGCGACCCACCCCGCGACCCGCCCGCGGCCCACCCCGCGACCCACCTGCGACCCACCCGCGACCCATCCGCAACCCACCCGCGACCCACCCGCGACCCACCCCGCGACCCACCCGCGACCCACCTTCGACCCAAACCACGTTCAAGGTACAAATCACAATTTTCGGCGCCTGCGGCGGTTTTTTTTTGCATTCCTTCAGGTGGAGAGCCCGCGACCCATCCCGCGACCAATTCGCGACCAACCCACGACCCAGACCACGTTCAGGATACAAACCACATTTTTCGGCGCCTGCGGCGGGCATCTTTTGCATTCGTTTCAGGTGGAGAGCCCGCGGCCCACCCGCGACCACGTTCAGGGTACAAACCAATTTTTTCGGCGCCTGCGGCGGGCATACAAAAGAAAGTTTTCGGTGCCTGCGGCGGGCTGCTTTTGCATTCCTTCCAGGTGGAGGTGGAGAGCCCGCGACCCACCCGCGACCTAAACCACGTTCACTGAACAAACCAACGCCGCACAAGCGCGGCGGCGGATTTTTGCATGCCGTCTGAGCCCGCAACGACCTCTTCAAGCCCCGCGCATCCACACCAGCCCGTCCAGCAACTTTGCCATGGCCAGTTGCCTTGATCAGAGTCTTGGGAACGGAGGGGAGGCAGGAGGAGTCAACAGGGGACGAGGAGGACGCGGAAGAAGAGAGGATGTAAGGAGAATGTGGAGAAAGAGGAGTAGGTGGACGAGGAGGGGGAGGACGGGGAGGAGGGGGAGGAGTGGGAGGAGGAGCACGAGGAGGGGGAGGAGGGGGAGGAGGGGGAGGAGGGGGATGATGATGATGATGATGATGATGATGATGATGATGATGATGATGATGATGATGATGATGATGATGATGATGATGATGATGATGATGATGATGATGATGATGATGATGATGATGATGATGATGATGATGATGATGATGATGATGATGATGATGAGATGATGATGATGATGATGATGATGATGATGATGATGATGATGAATGATGAGATGAGATGAGGATGAGGATGAGGATGATGAGGATGAGGATGAGGATGAGGATGAGGATGAGGATGAGGATGAGGATGAGGATGATGATGATGATGATGATGATGATGATGATGATGATGATGATGATGATGCTGATGATGGTGATGGTGGTGATGATGGTGATGATGATGATGATGATGATGATGATGATGATGATGATGATGATGATGATGATGATGATGATGGACGACAATGGGAGGACGATGATGGAGGCCGATGAGGGGGAGGACGACAATGGGAGGACGATTATGGAAGGACGAGGGGGCGAGAGGAAGGACGAGGAAGAAGAGGAGGAGGAGGAGGAGGAGGAGGAGGATGACGATGACGATGAGGACGAGGACGAGGACGAGGAAGAGAAGGAGGAGGAGGAGGAGGAGGAGGAGGAGGAGGAGGAGGAGGAGGAGGAGGAGGAGGAGGAAGAGGAGGAGAGCGTCATCGACAGGGAAGGTGGGGGCCACGAGGTCCGCCGGCTCGACGACGCCCGCGCCGCCCGCGCCCGCCCCCTCACTCTTATCCGCAATGGCGGGGTGCTACGTAAATTCCGATTCCTCATTGGAGGCATGCTAGCTTGCCGATTTCCGCCGATTCGGCTTCTCCCGACTCGGCTGCCGATTTCTGCCGATCCGACTCATTTCGATCGCCGATCCGACCAATCGATTCGACTTTGGGCACTCCTGCCTCCCGCAAGAGAGTTGTTGTTCCCAACCATCCTGTGGTGTTGGGTTCTCGTTTTGAAGAGACGGTCCCCGCGTTCCTCCTTCCTTCCTCCTCCCCCTCCTCCTCCTCCTCCTCCCCCTCCTCCTCCCTCCTCCCCTCCCTGCCTCTGCTCTCCGCATGCCCATCCCATTTCGGGACACCACTCACACGTTTCGTGGCCCCATGGGGAGCTCCACCTAAGGCCTCAATGGTTCGCATGGCACCGCCGCCCTATTTCGGCACACCCCTCACACTTTTCGTGGTCCCATAGGGAGCTCCACCGAAGGCCCCAGTGGGCAAGTTTGCTTGGCACCGCCGCCCCATTTCGGCATACCCCTCACACGTTTCGTGGCCCCACGGGGAGCTCCATCGAAGGCCTCAGTGGGAAAGTTCGCATGGCACCGCCGCCCCATGTCGGCACACACCTCACACGTTTCGTGGCCCCATGGGGAGTTCCGCCGAAGGCCCTAGTGGGAAAGTTTGCATGGCACCGCCGCCCCATTCGGCACACCACTCACACGTTTCGTGGCCCTTTAGGGAGCTCCACCGATGGCCCCTGTGGGCAAATTTGCATTACACCGCCGCCCCATTTCGGCATACCCCTCACACGTTTCGTGGCCCCACGGGGAGCTCCACCGAAGGCTCCAGTGGGAAAGTTCGCATGGCACCACCGCCCCATTTCGGCACACACCTCACACGTTTCGTGGTCCCATAGGGAGCCCCACCTAAAGCCCCAGCGGGACAGTTTGCATGGCACCGCCGCCCCATTCGGCACACCACTCACACGTTTCGTGGCCCTTTAGGGAGCTCCACCGATGGCCCCTGTGGGAAAGTTCGCATGACACCGCCGCCCCCTTTCGGCATACCCCTCACACGTTTCGTGGCCCCGCGGGGAGCTCCACCGAAGGCTCCAGTGGGAAAATTCGCATGGCACCACCGCCCCATTTCGGCACACACCTCACACGTTTCGTGGTCCCATAGGGAGCCCCACCTAAAGCCCCAGCGGGACAGTTTGCATGGCACCGCCGCCCCAGTTCGACATGCCCCATGGGGAGCTCCACCGAAGGCCCCAGTGGGAAAGTTCGCATGGCACCGTCGCCCCATTCTGGCACACCCCTCACACGTTTCGCGGCCCCACAAGGAGCTCCGCCGAGGCCCTTGTGGGCAAGTTCGCATGACACCGCCGCCCCATTTCGGCATACCCCTCACACGTTTCGTGGTCCCGTGGCACCGCCGCCCAATTTCGGCACACCCCTCACACTTTTAATGGCTTATAAGGAGCTCCACCTGAGGCCCCTGTGGGCAAGTTCGCATGGCACCGCCTCCCAATTTCGGCACACCCCTCACGTTTCGTGGCCCCATGGGGAGCTCCACGGAAGGCCCCAATGGCGAT